ATTCATCGACGACCCCACAAAAGTATGCCAGCTGATAAAATCCCTTTACGGGATCAAGCAAGCCCTGCGGCTTTGGCAGCAGCATCTTCACGGTCGCCTCGTCAGAATCGGATTCCTACAGCTGCCACACGACCAAGGCATGTACCGACTACAGAAGGAAAGGGAATTTATCCTACTCATCGTCTACGTCGATGACCTGCTCTACATCAGCTCCACTACTGACATCGCCACCTGGTTCGAAGGGGAGCTGAAAAGGGACTTGACACTCATAGTGTCAGACACCGTAACCTAGTACCTGGGTCTGAACGTCGTCGAAGACAACTTGGCGTTCTACTTATATGCTGGAAAATACGCAGGCGTCGTCGCAAAGAAGTTCGGACTAACACCAACTACAGTCGCGACTCCCTACCGCTACGGGAACAACAACGACACCTCCGCAAAACTCCCCGCGAAGCAAATCCAGGAGTATCAGCAGAAGCTCGGCTGCCTACTATTCGCAGCAGTAACCTGCCGACCTGACCTATCCTACAGCGCGAGCCAACTGGCGACGCATCTGAAGCAGCCGGAACAAGAAGATCTCGAAGAACTAAACCGGGCACTACTCTACTTCATCTCTACGCCGACGACCGGACTTACCTACAGCAAAGTAACAACACCATCCGTACAACTACTTGGATACGTCGACGCCGACCACGCGGGAGACCGGGAAAATCGACGATCAAGAACGGGCTACATCTACCGACTAGAACCTATCGGGACTATCTCATGGCAGTTGAGTAAACAGGAACTAATTGCACTATCTTCGGCTGAAGCATAATATATCGCCCTCTGCACCGCGGCCAAGGAAGGACTTTACCTGCGAGAGTTACTCGAGGAAGCAAAGATTGCGACCCTACCCGTCTTCTCACTCCCAACATGGTATGAGAGCTGGTCAGAGACCAAACTCCCAGCAACTATGCTCTATCTACAATATGCACACCAACGACTTCATTGATGATAAGTCATGGACAGCAGACTCTCTGTCAGTAGACCACAGACTCTCTGCTCCAGTCCCGGAGGACGCTGTAGAGCCTAGTGGTCCATATGGAGAGCTGGTGGGTTGGCTCATATATCTGATGACTTGCATTCGTCCAGATCTTGCATACCCTCTTAGCATCCTGGCTCACTTTGTGGCCACCGGCAGACACCGACCATAGCACTGGTCGGCAGCTGAGAGGGTTTTGCGTTATCTAGCAAGTACATCGTGCATGGGGCTAGTGCTAGGAGGACGCAGACCAGTGGTCCTTACCGGGCACACACACGCTTCTTGGGTTGACGACGCCGAGACTCTCAGGTCCTCCCAGGGCTACTGCGTTGGCCTTGGTTCATGTGCCATCTCGTGGAGGTCCACTCGCTCCTCATCTGTTGCCCAGTCTAGCTGTGAGGCTGAGATCTATGCCGGTGCATGATCCTCCTGTGTCAGGAGCCTAGACTCGAGTGCAGAGCAAAGCACATCCAGCTGCGGTACTTCCTTCTGCGTCAGCCACAGCAGCGTCGCCAGGCCCGCGTAGTACACTTGGCCTCCAGTGCCAACACAACTGATATCTTTACGAAGGCGCTTGAGCCTGAAGATCATCAGCGGCACTGTGTACAGCTAGGTCTCGTTCCTATAGCCTCTCATTTGCTAGGACCTTGAGTGTGTACTGACCTTTATACATATTACCCTGACTGGCCTTGTGGCCTCGTCCTAGTGGCTAGACTAGTAGTGACGTCCAGGTCTTGCTCTTGCCTTGTTTGTACTCGTTTGACTGGTCTTTAGACCCTTGCCTTAGAGGCTGGACTAGTAGTGCCGCTCTGAACTGCTTGTCTCACACCAGGCACTGCCCCTCTCTAGTCTAGGGGGTGTGTAAAACATATCCTTGTATGTTGTTATAGACTACACACAATTGTGCCTTAGAGAGTACAACCCACTAGGTTATATTCCCTTGTATGCCATGGTTCTAGTCATTCGCTAACCTTGATAGCAAGCTTGCCGTTAGGTAGTATGGAAAAATGTCGGCGTGCTTCCGAATCACTGTTGCCAAATCATCCGGTACAACTGCGCAGAGTTTGTCGATGTCGGTCGGCGTGTCGACAGCCGTTGATGCGACCCATCAGACGGCATACAGTTGCGCTCCTTGAATCATCACGCGCTTTTTATTCACCGTGTTGAACGTCGATGTTGTCGAGTCTTGACTGCTCCACTTGGGTAGCCGTCGCCAATCGCCACTCCACTTTATGCGACAATCGCCCGTCTGCCAGTCGATGCTCGGATTGTATTCGCGCAACGAATCGCGTCCCAGCAGCATGTCGCACCCGTCCAAAGTTGTCGCCAGCATCTTCGTCGTAAAACTGAAATTTTCGTCATAGATGACTGGCACGTAAGGCACGCGCTCCTGAATTGCCAATGGGGTGCCGTCAACCAACCTCGCATCGATTTATGGCATGCATCGTTCCAGCTGCAATCGGAGTTTCTTCGCTTTTGTCACATCCATCAAAGTGTGGCTTGCCCCACCATCAACAAATATTTTGATGCGGGTGTCGCCAACGCTTCCTTCAAACAGCACAGGGCGGTCAACCGGTTCACTCCCCTTATTCAGCCAGGAATGGTCGATAGCCCAAATTGGCACTATAACCTGATGGGGGTGTTGGCGTTTGGGCGACGCAGTCATGTTAGTAGGTGGCCCATCGGCTACTGACGTTCTCCATTTCCGGACTGCTTCCTGTCATTAACTAAGTTCTTCTTCAGCTGCGGGCAGTCCTTCACAATGTGGCCCGGCTGGTTGCAGTGGAAAGAGCATCCAGAAAATACCCGGGCTGCAAACACGTCCACGCTTTTGATTGATGTGTGTTGGGGCTGGCCTCGAAAGCGATTTCCCTCCCGGAAACCCACCATCGCGAGTCCACGCATTGCGTCCTGCGCATCCGCGATTCGGACAATGTCGTTGAATGTTGCCGGGGCTCGCAGGACGATCTCTTGCTGAAACTCTGGGTTGAGACCACCCACGTAGCGATCAATTCACTCATCTTCGCTAAGCCCTCTGATTTGATCGCATAGCGCCAAGAACTAAGTCGTGTATTCTTGGACAGAGCCCAACTGTCTCCACATCCGAAGCCTTGTGCAAGCGTTTTTGCGCATGGATATGTGCTCGAATCGGCTCTTCAATGCTTGGTCCCACGGTTTCCACGTGCAGATCGTGGTCGAACCAAAGATCGGTTCTGCCTAATCTGTTTATGAACCGTGCTCCCCATCTACCGCCCGTTGATTCGCTGTCGTCCCTCGTCCAGATGCATGCGCCACCAGTCGATTGCCGGTCCCCTCAGCAACGACACAGCCAAGTTGATACGTGACGCGTTGTCATTAATACTTGGTGCTGTGAAAAAGATTTCCATGACGAACAGCCAACCGCTCACTGTAGTCGTTTAGTCGGTCGGGTTGAATGGCGGTGTCATCGGATGATTGATTTTAATGGCCGCTCACGACTCGCAGTGGACTTCTTCAACTGCTTCAGGTGTCGCCGACGCCCTCGCTTCGCTCACAGCATCTTCGTCTCGGGTAGCATGCCGCCCCTGACGCGTTTCACATCGCGTCTGGCGAAGCGACGAGTTTTCGTTGCGCAGCGTCTGCAGTTCGCTTCCTAGCGACTCGAACATATCGGCGAGTTGTTGAAGCTGGGCCTGCAGTGTTGTCACTGTAGCTGCCCTGGCTTGCAACTCGTCAAACTCCTCCTGAGTCACGTTCATAACACTACGATGGACAGAGGTTTCCGGTGTGGTAGGCATGATGGAAAATTTACCTGACAGATCTGAGGGTGCACACGCTTCTAGTTGGAAGAGCTTTAACGAGCTTACCTACCAACCGCAGGCTAGCCCTCTATTCTGTCGGGTCCTCTCTCGATATAAACGGACTACTCTACGGAAGACTAAGCGGCTAGGAACGGAGCTCTGATACCAGCTGTTATGAATTATTACGAGTAATAGCAAGTAGTGTAATAAAGGAGTCGTGATTCAAGAGTGTAGATACAAGTGAGGGCCTAGGCATTTATAGGCACGAACAGAGCTAGCCGAGAACCACGCGAACAGGTTGGGGGGGTCCGTTTGGCGAAAGCTATGGAAGCGCCGCGCGTCTAGGTTTGGGTTCGCAATGTTGTTCCGGACCGAAGAAGTTGGCCGGGCTTAGACTTACAAGAGCGCTGCAGTCGAGCCCAGTAAGGAAAAGGGAATTTCCTTACAAGCGGCAAGCTGTGTACTGTAGTCAGGCGAGACAAACCGCTTCGCCTGAGCAATAACGGTCGGCAGAGGGGGGAGGTTGGGAAACCTGACGGCTCCGTCAACTCAAAACGCTGGGCGCCTTTTGGTTTCCCAGATCCCCGCGAGGTTTGATCTGTCGTCGCAGCATTGAAGATCCCGTCATTTATAAGGGTGCGTTCAGGATTCGTGTCAAGCTCCTGGTCACGTCTTCCGAGCCATAACTTTGGGCCTTCCAAACCTAACTTCTGGACCACGAACATCGATGTGCTACAGTGCTCAGCGATGAGAATGCCAACTACGAAATTTCCGCCTAAATGCGCCATTCAGTTCGCGTTCCGTGTTTGTGTTTCGCAAACAAAGTTCGTCAAATTCGTTCATGTGCTTTCTGTTCGTGTGTCGCTCGACTTTCGTGGACCCGAAGCCTCGGGTCTTCCGGATTCGTGACTTCTACGTCTAACTCGAATACTGACACGAACACGGAACTATCCCTAAGACTTGAAGCAGGAATGCAGCTCTGATTCCGAGGGTAGTTTCTTTTTGAGGGGGGTGCAGGACATTACAGTATGTGATTCGAGGGTAGTGTTGTGTGGTTCCGAGGGTGTGATTTCATGGATCTGTCGTTCAAAGCGCCTACAGTTGGTACTATTTGGCTAGAACTACAAGAAAGTGCCCCAAAGTAATGAGTAGATTGTTAGAAAGACATCACGGGCATTCTCTTCCCTGCCCATGAGCTTTCTTCGTCCCACGGCCTTCATGCCATTCTCAATTGTCATTGTGTCAGGTTGATGTGTGTGCTTCATGCCATGCCTTTCATCCACGATTACACTGACTGTACCATCGACCGGGACATTCTAAACTTGACGAAACCATGGATGCAGCCTACCACTCCAGGAAGATTTCACTGTCGTACAAGTAGACGAAGCCGTTGCCAGGACCCATCATTATAGGTGACGCCATGAGTGGAGCACTATTCTGACAGTTTTCCGACTCGACATCACGTCCCGGGATTCTTCAGGCTGCTGCCTCGACTTCTTGTGATTTCTTAGCTTCCGACTCGGAAGCTTCTTACCGTATTTCTCGGTGGTATCGACAATCAGGAGTCCACATCAACAGCGGAATCTTTTCAAGCTTGCCTTGTTCCGTCTCGGCAAGGCGTACAGCAGCTTTTGAGTCTACTCGAAAGCAAACTCGGCAAGGCGTGCAGCAGCAGCCATGGATCCGCTAGACGAGCTCGTGAAACTGCAGGTTAGTCTCTTTCTTGAGACATCTCAATCTCCAGACATCTCAAATCTCCAGACAGCTCAAAACCCGACTGTGCGTGCAGCAGCCAGGTTAGTCCCGTTTTCTTTCCGCCTTATCCTCCTGGCGTCTTTTGACAGGAAGATGAGGCTCGCTGATTTTTTAGCGTCGGGCTTCGAAAGTTTCTTGACTAAAATATCACCTGGATTTCGCGTTAATCTCGTTGAAAAATTCTCCTCAACGCTCGTTTCGTCAGCTCGGATTCCTGACAGACCCTTTGTGTCGCCTTTCGTTGCATCACCTTCTCTCCACAGGAAGAGTACGACAAGCTCGAATCGGTCTATAACGCGGATGTGTCCAAGGCTCTCAAGGCGTACCAGCGGACATGCGATCCTCTCTTTGAGGTAATATCTCTCAGTCATTCAGATGTCGTCCTCGAATCCCCCGTCTGGAGGGAGCATTCTGGGAGCAAGCTCTACGCATCCAAAGATGCTGCTGTTGGTTGTGCCGTGAGAAGCATTTTTAGCCTTTAAACCCTTTTTTGGGTATTATTTATTACCTACAGGAAGGTTTTTTTTTTTTTTTTTTTTTTTTTTTTTTTTCTTGAAGGGGCCAGTCAGTGGCTCCGCTGCATGCATTTGTTATTTACTTGTTCAAAATCCGTCTGTCGATCCCTTGAACCATCAATTCTGTCCGTCCATCTCATCTCAGAGGCGCAAGCAAATCGTGTGTGGGGAGGCAAAGCCCACCGAGGAGGAGGCAGCAGCTGCCGACTCAGAGGACGAAGATGAGGGGGGAGAGGGAGAAGGGGAGGAGCAGAAAGAAAGCAATCGATGCACGCCTTTGTTATTTAATTCTTGTTTCTGATCTGTCCATCCATCCCTCCTTTCATCCCAACCGTCCATCTCCTTTCAGAGGCGCAAGCAAATCGTGTGTGGGGAGGCAGAGCCCACGGAGGAGGAGGCAGCAGCTGCCGACTCAGAGGACGAAGATGAGGGGGGAGAGGGAGAAGAGGGAGAAGGGGAGGAGCAGCAGAAGCATGTGGGAAAGGTTACTAAAGAGCCCAAAGGCGTGCCCAACTTCTGGCTCACAGTACTTAAGAAGCATGTGCGTGAAACCCTCTCTCTTTTCTTCCAAGTCATCTTTTTTTTTAGTTGCGTGACTGTCCTTATACGTGCCCAACTTCTGGCTCACCGTGCTTATGAAACATGTGCGTACAATCCTTTTGGTGTTTTAAGACCGTGCCTTTTCACTCTCCAGAGGTTAATTTTGAGGTAGTGCGAGTGGCCACTGGCCTGTGTGAGCTTTTCTGACCTTTGCGTCTTTATTCCCATCACCCTTACTCCCCTCTCCCGTCCCCCCCACAGGACTCAATAGCGGAGTTCATCCACAAGCGAGACGAGGAGGCCCTGCAGAGCCTGACGGACGTGCGAGTGCGTGTGGTTCTTGAGTCAACTCACAGCATCCCCTCTGACCTCTTCCCCTCTTTGTCCCCCTCACCTACTCTCCCCTCCCTCACCTCGCACAGGACTCAATAGCGGAGTTCATCCACAAGCGGGACGAGGAGGCCCTGCAGAGCCTGACGGACGTGCGGGTGCGCCACACCTCCCCCTCTGGTGGTGCAAGCACAGTCACGCGGCTGGAGCTGCACTTTGGCCCAAACCCTTTCTTCTCTAACAAAACGCTCTGTATCGAGACAGTGGAAGTGGCAGCAGGAGGAGGGGGGGAGGAGGAGGAAAATGGGGAAGGCGAGGAAGGCGAGGAAGGGGAGGGAGGAGGGGGAGGAGGGGGAGGAGGGGGAGGAGGAGGAGAGGGAGGGTCGTTGGTGGTGGTGAAAGAGGTGTCGGAGATTCAGTGGAAGAGTGCGGAGAAGAATCTGACTCTCAGACAGATTGTGAAGGCAGCGAAGAAGGGAAAGGTGAGATGCGGCTGGGTGAAAAAGGGGTGCAGAAAGTAGTGGGATGTTGGGAAGGAGGCTTGGAGGAGGAGAGGGAGGGGGAGGGGGAGGGTTGTTGGTGGTGGTGAAAGAGGTCTCGGAGATTCAGTGGAAGAGTGCGGAGAGGAACTTGACTCTCAGGCAGATTGTAAAGGCGGCAAAGCAGGGAAGGGTATGTGCGGGGTGAGATAGGGCCAACACAGAAAGGTTATTTATGTGGGAAGGAGGGTTCGTGGTGGCGGTAAATTGCAGGGATGAACTTGACTCTCAGGCAAATTTTGAAGGCAGCTAACAAGGGAAATGTGAGGGGGGCGTTTAATGGTGAGTAAGCGGGTGTGGATTGGTTTGCGAGACTAAGCCTTGCCTTTCCTGTAACAACCTCTTTTTGAGGAGCCTCAAAATGGTATCAAAAATAGTTTTGAGGCGCCTAAAAAATTGGTGGCCAGTAAGAAAATGTGGATTAGTTATACGAGACTGGGCCTTGCCTTTTCATTGTCAACCTCTTTTCTCCCACGCCCACTTCCCAACCCCCCTTTCTTGCACACTACCCGGCTCCCCATTGCAGGGAGGCAAGGGGAAGAAGGTTGGAGGCAGGGAGGCAGGGCCCCCTGCTGCAGCAATCAAAACCAAGCCCTGCCCTCCCTTCTTCAACCTCTTCTCCTCACCCCTCCTCCCCAACTCCCCTTTCTTGCACTCTACCCTCGTCCCCCTTGCAGGGAGGCAAGGGGAAGAAAGGCGGAGGCAAGGAAGCAGAGCCCCCTGCGTCAGTCAAGACCAAGCCCTGCCCTTCCTTCTTCAACCTCTTCGCTCTCTCCCGCAACATGCGTGGCAACAGAGCCACAGCACAGCACAGCAGCAGGGAGGGGAGGAGCAGAGGGGAGGAAGGAGAGGAGGGAGAGGAGGAAGAGGAGGGCGAAGAGGAGGAGGGGGAGGGGGGGTTGGGAGGCCTGCCCGTATTTGGGGAGGATCTGGGGGAGGTGCAGCTGAGGGTGCCGAGGGAGAGGGTGTTATCTGATGGCAAGATGGACGTCTGGCAGGCGCTGTGCAACGAGGTGGGTGTCATTCAGTGCAGTGCAGTGCGGCCTGGTTCGCTGAGGTGGAATGCGGTGCAGAGTGGTGTGACTGGGTGTGTATATATGGGGGCGCAGCTGAGGGTGCTGAGGTGATACTTGATTGGTGGTTCTATGAGGTGCAGTGCGGTGCACGGAGATGCAATGCAGCGCAGTGTTGTGTGAACCGTTTAGGAGGAGTGGCTGTTGTGTGCTGGCAGACTGGCATGGTCTACCACCCCACCATTCACCCCCCCCCCACTACCTCCCCACACTCGCTTACATGCAGGTTGTGCCCAGGGCAGTTGAGCTGTTTATTAGCACAGGCTTTGGAGAGGAGGAGGGCGGAATGGATGGTGGTGATGACGATGCTGACGTGGCGGATGAGGAGGGGTACGAGCACGTTCGGCGCCCTTCTTCCTCCGGACCTCATCGGCTGGTTCGGCGCCGGATCAGGTTTGTCCAAGTCTGTGGAAATCAACTCGTGTTTGTGTGTGTGGGTGTTGGAAAGGGGGGGGGGGGGGAGGGGGGGAAGTGGGTGAATGGGTGGGTGAATGGATGTGTGCGTGTTTGTGTGTGTGTGTGTGTTGGGGGGGGGGGGGAAGGGGGGAGTGGGTGAATGGATGTGTGCGTGTTTGTGTGTCTGTGTGTGCGCGAGCGCGCGTGCTTGTGTGGCGTGCATGCTTGTGCACGAGCGCGCGTGCTCGTGTGTGCGTGCCTGCTTGCGTGCGTGCGTGCTTGTGTGTGTGTGTGCGTGCTTGTGTATGTGCATTCGTGCTCATGTGTGTGCGTGCGTGCTGGTATGTGTGTGCGTGCTTGTGTGCGTGTGTGCTTGTGTGTGCGCATGCGTGAGTGCGTGTTTGCGTGTGCATGCTTGCACGTGCGTGCGCGCATGCATGAGTGCACACCAGGATGGCATGCACACGCAAACACGCACAAGAGAAGGATGGCAACCAAATATTCTCCTTTCCCTTCCTCCTTCCACCCCCTTCCCCAACCCCCCCTCTCTCCCCCAGAGTCACCAGAGCATTGAAGCACCTTCAGCCCCAGCAGCAGCAGTCAGAGCGCAAAGGCAGCAAACAAATCCCCTTCCCCTCCCCTTTCCCCCCTCCCCCTTTCCGGCTCCCCCTATCCCTCCCCCACATTCACCAGAGCATTGAAGCACCTGCAGCGGCAGCAGCAGCAGGAGGCAGAATGCTCGAGAGTAGCAACCATTGCTTGTCGCTCGAGAGCAGCAACCATTGCTTGTCGCTCGAGAGCAGCAACCATTGCTTGTCGCTCGAGAGCAGCAACCATTGCTTGTCGCTCGAGAGCAGCAACCATTGCTTGTCGCTCGAGAGCAGCAACCATTGCTTGTCGCTCGAGAGCAGCAACCATTGCTTGTCGCTCGAGAGCAGCAACCATTGCTTGTCGCTCGAGAGCAGCAACCATTGCTTGTCGCTCGAGAGCAGCAACCATTGCTTGTCGCTCGAGAGCAGCAACCATTGCTTGTCGCTCGAGAGCAGCAACCATTGCTTGTCGCTCGAGAGCAGCAACATTGCTTGTCGCTCGAGAGCAGCAACCATTGCTTGTCGCTCGAGAGCAGCAACCGTTGTTTGTCGCTCGAGAGCAGCAACCGTTGCTTGTCGCTCGAGAGCAGCAACCTTTGCTTGTCGCTCGAGAGCAGCAACCATTGCTTGTCGCTCGAGAGCAGCAACCATTGCTTGTCGCTCGAGAGCAGCAACCATTGCTTGTCGCTCGAGAGCAGCAACCATTGCTTGTCGCTCGAGAGCAGCAACCGTTGCTTGTCGCTCGAGAGCAGCAACCTTTGCTTGTCGCTCGAGAGCAGCAACCATTGCTTGTCGCTCGAGAGCAGCAACCATTGCTTGTCGCTCGAGAGCAGCAACCATTGCTTGTCGCTCGAGAGCAGCAACCATTGCTTGTCGCTCGAGAGCAGCAACCATTGCTTGTCGCTCGAGAGCAGCAACCATTGCTTGTCGCTCGAGAGCAGCAACCATTGCTTGTCGCTCGAGAGCAGCAACCATTGCTTGTCGCTCGAGAGCAGCAACCATTGCTTGTCGCTCGAGAGCAGCAACCATTGCTTGTCGCTCGAGAGCAGCAACCATTGCTTGTCGCTCGAGAGCAGCAACCATTGCTTGTCGCTCCAGAGCAGCAACCATTGCTTGTCGCTCGAGAGCAGCAACCATTGCTTGTCGCTCGAGGCGCCAGAGCAGCAACCATTGCTTGTCGCTCGAGAGCAGCAACCATTGCTTGTCGCTCGAGAGCAGCAACCATTGCTTGTCGCTCGAGAGCAGCAACATTGCTTGTCGCTCGAGAGCAGCAACCATTGCTTGTCGCTCGAGAGCAGCAACCGTTGTTTGTCGCTCGAGAGCAGCAACCGTTGCTTGTCGCTCGAGAGCAGCAACCTTTGCTTGTCGCTCGAGAGCAGCAACCATTGCTTGTCGCTCGAGAGCAGCAACCATTGCTTGTCGCTCGAGAGCAGCAACCATTGCTTGTCGCTCGAGAGCAGCAACCATTGCTTGTCGCTCGAGAGCAGCAACCGTTGCTTGTCGCTCGAGAGCAGCAACCTTTGCTTGTCGCTCGAGAGCAGCAACCATTGCTTGTCGCTCGAGAGCAGCAACCATTGCTTGTCGCTCGAGAGCAGCAACCATTGCTTGTCGCTCGAGAGCAGCAACCATTGCTTGTCGCTCGAGAGCAGCAACCATTGCTTGTCGCTCGAGAGCAGCAACCATTGCTTGTCGCTCGAGAGCAGCAACCATTGCTTGTCGCTCGAGAGCAGCAACCATTGCTTGTCGCTCGAGAGCAGCAACCATTGCTTGTCGCTCGAGAGCAGCAACCATTGCTTGTCGCTCGAGAGCAGCAACCATTGCTTGTCGCTCGAGAGCAGCAACCATTGCTTGTCGCTCGAGAGCAGCAACCATTGCTTGTCGCTCGAGAGCAGCAACCAGTGCTTGTCGCTCGAGAGCAGCAACCATTGCTTGTCGCTCGAGAGCAGCAACCATTGCTTGTCGCTCGAGAGCAGCAACCATTGCTTGTCGCTCGAGAGCAGCAACCATTGCTTGTCGCTCGAGAGCAGCAACCATTGCTTGTCGCTCGAGAGCAGCAACCATTGCTTGTCGCTCGAGAGCAGCAACCATTGCTTGTCGCTCGAGAGCAGCAACCATTGCTTGTCGCTCGAGAGCAGCAACCATTGCTTGTCGCTCGAGAGCAGCAACCATTGCTTGTCGCTCGAGAGCAGCAACCATTGCTTGTCGCTCGAGAGCAGCAACCATTGCTTGTCGCTCGAGAGCAGCAACCATTGCTTGTCGCTCGAGAGCAGCAACCATTGCTTGTCGCTCGAGAGCAGCAACCATTGCTTGTCGCTCGAGAGCAGCAACCATTGCTTGTCGCTCGAGAGCAGCAACCATTGCTTGTCGCTCGAGAGCAGCAACCATTGCTTGTCGCTCGAGAGCAGCAACCATTGCTTGTCGCTCGAGAGCAGCAACCATTGCTTGTCGCTCGAGAGCAGCAACCATTGCTTGTCGCTCGAGAGCAGCAACCATTGCTTGTCGCTCGAGAGCAGCAACCATTGCTTGTCGCTCGAGAGCAGCAACCATTGCTTGTCGCTCGAGAGCAGCAACCATTGCTTGTCGCTCGAGAGCAGCAACCATTGCTTGTCGCTCGAGAGCAGCAACCATTGCTTGTCGCTCGAGAGCAGCAACCATTGCTTGTCGCTCGAGAGCAGCAACCATTGCTTGTCGCTCGAGAGCAGCAACCATTGCTTGTCGCTCGAGAGCAGCAACCATTGCTTGTCGCTCGAGAGCAGCAACCAGTGCTTGTCCTCCATCCATCCGCACCCTCTTTTCGCCCCCTCTTCCCCCTCGTTTCCCCTTCTTCCCTCCATATGCGCCATAGCAAAAGATCACCTTCAGCGCCAGCAGCAGCAGGCAGAGCGAGTAGCACCCGCAACCCTCCCTCCCTCCCCCCCCCCCTCCCCAACACTCCCTCGCTCCCAGTCCCCACCCTTTTTCCACCCACCCTTCCCCCCACTCCCCCACTCCCTGTCCCCACCCGTTTTCCACCTTCCCCTTCGTTTCCCTTCCTTCTCTTCCCATCCACCAGAGCACTGAAGCACCTTCAGCAGAAGCAGCAGTACGCAGAACACTCAAGAGCAGCTGCCATTGCTGCTGCGCGCGCCTCTTTGAGTCAGCGCTCTGCTGGTATCTTTGCGCGGCGAAAGGCGGTTGCCATCGGGCCCAAGGCGCTTGATAGGTAAGCAATCGGGCGTGTTTCAAGGGTTTGTTGCTGCGGCTCGCGCCTCTCTGAGCCAGTGCGCCGCTGGCAACTTTGCCCGCCGCAAGGCAGTTGCCATCGGGCCCAAGGCCCTTGACAGGTGGGTGGGTGGGTGGAGTCTGGAGTCTGTTCAATTTTTTACTGCTGCTGCTCGCGCCTCTCTAAGCCAGCGCTCTGCTGGCATGTTTGCCCGCTGCAAGGCAGTTGCCACCAGACCGGAGGCACTGGAGAGGAGGGTGGGTGGGTGGGTGGTGGGCGTTCAAGATGGCTTCTGACCGTGCGACCTGTTCAAGGAGGGTGCACTGCTGCTGCTTGTGCCTCGTCTAAGTTACTGCCCTGACGGCATCCTTGCTTGACGCACGGCCGTGGTTACTTGGGGACCGTGCATTGCTGAGATCGTTCGGTGCATTGCTGAGATCGTTCGGTGCAGGGACCACCCCTGCTGGTCCGTCTTTCTGGTAATGCCCCAACCATGCCTCCACTCCACCCCCTCTCTCCCCTCCCCCCTCCCCCCCATGCTCCCTCTCTCCTGTGGCAGTGGAGATCATATGGCGAAGGGACCACCCCCTGCTGGCACCCCTCCCTCCCATTGACTCAACCGTCTCCCCCCCTCCCCCCCCCCGCTTCCTTCCCCCCTTCCCCAGTCCAGTGGCGGTGCAGCAGCAGCAGCATCCCTCCCCCGCTTCTGGCTGCTCGCCCTGCGCTCCATCCCGTGTGTAGTGGCGATCATACGGCGCATGGTCCATCCCCTGCTGGCGCACCTCTCGGACATTGCCTCAACCGTCTGTCCTCCCCCCTCCCTCCCCACCCCCCGCCACCCCCCCTCTTCCTTCCCCCCTTCCCCACTCCAGTGGCGATGCAGCAGCAGCATCCCTCCCCCGCTTCTGGCTGCTCGCCCTGCGCTCCATCCCGTGTGTAGTGGAGATCATACGGCGCAGGGACCATCCCCTGCTGGCGCACCTCTCGGACATCCGCTGGAGACCACTCAGGGGCAAGAAGGAGGGGGAAGAGGAGGGAGAGGAGGGAGTGGAGGGAGAGCAAGGGGGCAGTAAGAAGGGTGGAGAGAGGGGGGCAGCGGCTGAGTGTGGGAAGGGTGAGACTGGATTCGTGATAGACTTTGAGTTCCTGCCCGGATGTAAGGAATGGATGGCCAATCGCGTGCTCTCAAAGGCATACTTTTTTCGAGGCCGGGCAGCCAGCGGTGGCGGTGGTGGTAGCGGCAGCGCTGGGGCTGGAGGTTCGGGGGGTGCCGAGGCTGGTGAGCTGGTTCGGGTGGAGTGTATGACGCCGATCGTGTGGGAGGAAGGCATGGAGCTGACCCTGAGGGAGGTTCAGGACAGTAAAGGACGCCTCCGAGTCAAGCCCTGCCCCAGGTACACTTGGCCCCAGGTACGGCCTGGCTGCGTGCCCCAAGTAAGCATGAACAACGAATCTGAATTTTCGAATCTGGATTCGAATTCCACTTGCAATGCGCTTCAAGCACGAGTCGAATATAGGCCTGATATTCGACCACTGTTCGACTCGAAAAGAATCAGCGTGGACCACTGTTCGACTCGAAAAGAATCAGCATGGACCAGTGTTGGTCGAAAGTGGTCGATATCAGGACTATCCCTGGGCCGAATCCTTCAGTCGGGGAAAAGATTCGACGGAGGATTCGGGCCAGGGATGAGATATGGGGGCACGTGAAGGGTAAGGGGGGGAAAGGGAGCTTACCATCAAAGCAGTGCAACTCATTTCTGCTGCAGAATGCCGTTTTTTTCTTCTTCTACTTCTTTTCTTCTTCTTCTTTTCTGGATGGCCTTCTATTCGACCAATTATTCGAGAAAAACAAAATGAATTCGGATTCGAGACTCGTTGTTCGTGCTTAGCCCCAAGAACCACTACCCCAGGTTTAGCCTGCCCCAGTTGCTGCCTGTCTATTCTGTAGTCGTCTTGAAGATCGTGTGGGAGGAAGGCTGAGGGAGGTGCAGGGCAGCAAAGGACGACTGTGAGTCTACCCTGCCCCAGGTACCACCTGCCTTAGGTACAGCCTATGTTGGCATAAACGCGTTTCCGCGTTTTTGCGTTTCGTTCTGAACGCTTGCGTTCAAAACGCAAAACGCAGGATTCCAGGCTTCAAATACGCTCGAAAAACGCCTGCCCGGGCAGGTGGGAAATTTGGCCCGGGCAGGGGACGCCATGCTAGGGGATGGACGTCGGGTAGCTTAGGTGCTGAACGTAAGAGTACTAGATCGTCAGTGCATGTAAGGTGAGCGAATTTCTCCTCTACAGATAGATCTGGATCAAGTGGGGGGGAATGGGTTGAGATTTTCAACACGTTGGGAAAAGGGAGGGAGGGATTGATGAGTTATCGTGTCGCTATGAAAAGTTCCGCGACTGGACGAAGACGAATTTGCGACACGCGAAACGTGTTGGCGTTTCGCGACGCGCGGCGAAATGTGTTTTCGATTCGCGACTTCGTGGTTTTTTTTTTTGCGTTTTTTTGTCCGGTCAGCCCGAAAAATTCCAAGGTGCGTTCGAGCGTTTTGACGCGTTTTTGCGTATTGCGTTTAAACGATTGCGTTTAAACGCAAAACACAAACTCACAAAAGCGTTTTTGTCAACATAGGGTACAGCCTTTCTAGGTACTGCCTGCTCCAGCCTCCCAGGTACTGCTTGTTCCACTTTAACCCTTCCCCACCCTCCACCCTCCCCCGCATCCTTTCCCCCCCACAGTTTCTTCCAGCTGTTTGACGACAATCGCTGCCACCTGGCGTTTGCTGGTGACGAGGCCGTCCACCTGTCGGCCTCCGATTTGGTGGAGAGGGAGGCTGACGTGGCGCTGGCCCTGCGTGATGTGGCGATCCCGCGTGCTGCTGAGCTGTACAGACAGGCCAAGGAGTGGGACCATGGAGAGGAGGACGAGGAAGAGGAGGAAGAGGAGGAGGAGGAGGAGGAGGATGAGGGGGAGGAGGAGGAGGATGAGGGCAATGGAAACAAGGTGTGTGCACCTCTCCTTTCGTTTCTACTCGTAATTATTTTTTGCTACACTTTTTTTTTACCGTGCACGTTTGGTAGTACTTTTATTAGCCGCATGCCTAAAAATGCACATTATGAGATAATGTTTGGACGCTTGATTTCCTCTTCATCCTTCCCTCCTGCCTTTCCTTGGTGCACGCTTTGCCGCAGTCAAAAGCCTCCTTGAACGACGCGGCGATCCGTAAGAAGCTTCTGGAGCGGAAGAAGAAGAAGAAGAGGGGAGGGGGAGACGGGGATGACGATGCCGATGTGCGCATATGCGGGCTGCCACGAAACGTCGTGTTTGGTCTCCTGCTCCTGCTTTCATTCTCGGCTCCATTCATTATCTTTCTTGATGAGATTCTTATGCGTTTGGGTTTGTGATGGAAATTAACAGCACCAATGAGTTCACCCTCCATGTGTCCCTTTTTTCCTTACCAACTCCATTTTTTCCCGAATCATACATTGTATATTGATGTTCCTGCTAGTGTAACGTCTTCTTTATTTGTATACTTTGTGTATGGAAATAGGATTTTCTTAACACGGGTTTTAGGCGTACATCGTGGTTGTTGGGGTTGCCGGCGCAGCTCTGCCACGAAATACAAATCGCAACACCCAAATGTGGTCTCCTCACGAGCTGCACGCATTTTGTCTGCCTCGCTGTTTCATGCCTGCCTAGATCTAGGCGCTTCGCGCCAATTTACAAACCACACGTCTCTGCTCTGCCGAGCCTCGACCGTGTGCTCTAGGCCTAGCTATATCCATACTCCCTGTTGTTTTGATGTTGCCTCATTGTATTGTTTCCTCGCTACTCAGGGCGTATTCCTACGGAGTGGTGTTCAGTACCAGGATAGCTAAAAACGTATGAACACCGTGCTGTAATTGCCGATTTTCAGGAAGCTGTTCAGTACCAAGATAGCACGATTCGCAAGGGTGGGGCACAATTTGCACGATTCGTTTCAACAAACGGAATGACACGCGGCATGCATGCGACACGTCAGGTGCTGCTCCAGAATGTCATTGAGTCGACCCACCAATCACAAGGCACGTAAGCGACCTAACTGGCTTCTGGTTCTAGTACTGGACTCGGCAAGAAAATTCATTCACAGTGTTCACGAACCCATTTTCCGTTGCTGGTACCGAACACCACTTTGTAGGAATACGCCCTCAATTATTCGACACACGCTCTTTGCGCTTCATTACACCTGGCCATCAGAGCCAACGATCCTCAGCCACATGCAGGGCCTCAGATTGGTTTTAAGGTACCCTGATTGCTCAGGGTCCCCCCCCCCTTGTTCCCTGATTTTTCAGGACTACATAAAAATTTTCCGCTGAGCTGACAGAGGTGGCTAATTTTTTTTTCCTGAGTTAACAGGGTTGCACGCTAGAATGGCGCTGAACATGAACACTAGCAATTTTTAGAAACAAGCATAAGATATATATCATCTACTTAAGCATCCTCCTCCTCATCCTCCTCAGTGTCAAACATGTGTATTTGTTATGTTTGTATAGACTGTATAGGGTAGCCTCTTAGAGGGTACAACACTTAGGTATATTTGTGTGTACTCTCACTCTATTAAACACTTCTTCAATTTCTGATATGGTATCAGGCGTAGGTAGGATCCCCCCCCCCACCTACCGCTTCAGCTCGCCCCCTAGCCCCGTCGCGACCCCCCCCCCCTAGCCCAGTCGCGCCCTTCCTGGGCCCCGTAGCGCCCCTCCCGGGCCCCGTCGCGCCCCCCCCCACCTGTGCCCCGTCGCGCCCCTTCCTGGGCCCCGTAGCGCCCCTCCTGGGCCCCGTCGCGCCCCTCCTGGGCCCCATCGCGCCCCTCCTGGGCCCTTGTAGCGCCCCTCCTGGGCCCCGTCGCGCCCCTCTTGGGCCCCGTAGCGCCCCTCCTGGGCCCCGTCGCGCCCTCCCTGGGCCCTGTAGCGCCCCTCCTGGGCCCCGCCGCGCCCCTCCCAGGCCCCGTAGCGCCCCTCCTGGGTCCCGTCGCGCCCCTCCTGGGCCCCGTAGCGCCCCTCCTGGGCCCCGTCGCGCCCTTCCTGGGCCCTCTAGCGCCCCTCCTGGGCCCCGTCGTGCCCCTCCCAGGCCCCGTCGCGCCCCTCCTGGGCTCCGTAGCGCCCCTCCTGGGCCCCGTAGCGCCCCTCCTGGGCCCCGTCGCGCCCTCCCTGGGCCCTATAGTGCCCCTCCTGGGCCCCGTCGCGCCCCTCCCAGGCCCCGTAGCGCCCCTCCTGGGCCTCGTCGCGCCCCTCCTGGGCTTTGTAGCGCCCCTCCTGGGCCTCGTCGCGCCCCTCCTGGGCCCCTGTAGCGCCCCTCCTGGGCCCCCGTCGTGCCCCTCCTGGGCCCCGTAGCGCCCCTCCTGGGCCCCTGTCCGCCTTCAGGCCCCGTCGCGCTCGCCCGGCCCCGTCGCCCCAGCCCGGCCCCGTCCCACCAGCCCGGCCCCGTCACGCCCGCCCGGCCCTGTTGCACCGGCCCCGTCGCAGCCGCCCGGCCCCGTCGCACCCGCCCGGCCGCCGTCCCGCTCGCCCGGCCTCGTCGCACCGGCCCGGCCCTGTCGCACCCGCCCGGCCCCGTCGCCCCTGCCCGGCCCCGTCGCGCTCGCTCGGCCCCGACGCCCCGGCCCGGCCCTGTCGCACCAGCCCGGCCCCGTCGCGCCCGCCCGGCCCCGTCGCGCCCGCCCGGCGCCCAGCCCTATCGCACCTGCCCGGCCCCGCTGCCCCGGCCCCGTCCTCCTCACTGGTACGGTTCCCCCCCACCCCGCCCTGCACTGCCCTGCGCCGTACCGCCCCGCACCACACTGTACTGCCTTACACCGCACTGCACCGCACTGTACCGCACTGCACCGCACTGCACCGCACTGTACCGCACTGCACCACACTCCACCTAGCTGCACTGCCCTGCACCGCACTGGACTGTTCCTGATGGCGGCGGAGCTTCGCTTCGACGTTGAAGGTCAGCCCCTAGAGTTCGAGGCGTGGCTTGCCGACCTCCGCCGTCAACTCACTGGCCAGCGGCAGGATGGTGAACCGCTTTCTGCACATCTTGACGGTACACTCCCCTACCCAGACCCCCCTGCTATTTTGCCCGCTGACCCCACACCCACTGAGCGTGAGTCTACTGCTGCCACTGCCCGTGCGCGCTCTGTCTGGCTTTCTCGCGATGCTGTCGCCCAGCTTGCCATTAGCAACGCCCTCCCCCCGTCCGAGCGTCCTCGCTTTAGGTCCCTCACTACTGCTCAGGCATACTTAGATGCTGTCATCAAGCGCTATTCCACCCCTCCGGCTGCCTCGGTGGGTCGCCTGATCCTCCCGATGCTCTTTCCTGACCTTGCCTCTTTCCCCACTGTTTCTGACCTCGCTGCCCACCTGCGCTCGATAGAGGAGACCTCGCGCACCGCCTGCACTGACGCACAGCTTAGAGCCTACCAGCCGCCCATTACCTCTACTCTCAACCTGCTTGCCACCCGCCTCCCTGACCGCCTTGCTGTCGCCCGCGACCGCTTCCTTAGCCTTCACCCCGCCGACCTCACCCTCACTGACTTTGTAGACACCCTGACTGTGATAGAGACCCGTCACCGCTCCATCGCCCAGGCGAGCGGTGTCGTGCCTGTCCCTATCTTTCAGGGTTGTGCCCCCGCCCAGTGTACCTTCTCCGACGGCTCTGTCGCAGTGGCTGAGACTGCTGCTGCCGCGCAGTTTCGTTCGGGGAAGGGCCGCCGCCCCAAGGTTGGGCGCGGCGGAGGCGGAGGCGGGGGTGCGGGAGGGGGTAGTGGTGGGGTCGGGTCGTCTGGTGCTGGAGCGGATGAGGGGACCCTGCCCAGTTCAGCTGAGCCGCCGCCCCTGCAGTTGCAGCAGCCGCAGCAGCCGCCACAGTCGCAGCCTTCGCAGCAGCCGCAGCAGCCGTCGCAGACGCGGCAGACGAGCGTCCTCCCGCCCGGGTGGCCCGGCGCTGGCGGTGGCCGGGCGCGTGGTGGTGTGTCGAGTGGTAGCTCTGGCGGCGGGCGCTGTCAGTACCAGATCCAGACCGGTCCTCGCCGCGGCTTCGTTTGCGGTAAGATCGGTCATTCCACTCCCCGCTGTTTTCGTCGCCTGGACGATCTCTTTCGTCAGCGCTTCGGCCCGTTGCCAGACCTCCCGGACTGGCACAGTTTGCTTAGTCGTAAGATTAAGATCTTTGATATGGACATGGATGCCATTGTTTCCGCTCTGCATGTGATGTATGCTGATGACTCTAGTGTGCTTCCCGCTTATTACTCACTGTTGCCTAGTGTAGGTGTGCCTAGCTTAGCCTCCCCTGCTGCGTCAGGCGTAGGATCCCCTGCTTTGTGTAGTCTTGGTGCTTCCGCCGTCGTTCCGTCGCCAGACGCCTCTGCTTCGCTTTCCTTCACCTTGCACTCTGGCGCTTCTCGGTGTTTCTTCCGCGACTCCACCACCCTGACGCCGCTTCCCGTCCCTGCTGCCGTTTCTCTTGCTGACCCCTCTGGCGGTCCGGTAGTCGCCCGCAGTTCCACCACCCTTCCCTGTCCGGCGGTTCCTTCGGGCTCTCTTACAGGTCTGCATATCCCCTCGTTCTCCAGGAACCTAGTTGGTGTCGGCTGCCTCCAGGACCTTGGCGTCACCACTACGTTCCCTGGTCACGAGCGGTATGCTGTCTGTACCGAGGCCGCCACTGGTGCCCCCCTGTCCACGTTCCCCCGGGACCCGGTGTCCGGCCTGTTCACTCTGGACACCGTAACCCCCCCGGCTGGAGCGCTCACCCAGGTTGCTGCTGCCTGCTCTTGTCGGTCTCTCACTCACCCGACCCTCCTTTGGCACCACCGCCTAGGTCACCCTGCGCTCCCGCGTCTGCGTCACATGTCCCAGCACGGTCTTGTCCTTGGTCTCCCAGGTTCTCTCCCTGCGTTTCCCTCCTCCCCAGCCCCACCTTGCACGCCTTGCGTCGAGGGTCGGCTTCGCCGTGCCCCTCACTCCTCCTCGTTTCCCCCTACCGCCGCGCCGCTGCAGACCCTGCACCTGGACGTCTGGGGCCCCGCCCCCGTCCCTGGGCCGCGTCGAGAGCGCTACTTCCTTGTGCTCGTCGACGACTTCACTCGCTACACCACAGTCTTTCCCCTGGAGCGCAAGGCTGACGTGCCTGGCGCTCTCATCCCCTGGCTTGTCTCTGCGCGTGTCCACCGCGGTCTCCCTGTCTTGCGTCTTCACTCAGACCGTGGTGGCGAGTTTGCCTCAGGTGTCCTTGGTCGCTTTTGTCGTGCGGAGGGCATCACCCAGACGTTCACCCTACCGGACTCCCCACAGCAGAATGGGGTCGCTGAGCGACGCATCGGTTTGGTCATGGAGGTGGCTCGCACCTCCATGATCCATGCCGGTGCACCCCATTTTCTGTGGCCGTTCGCTGTGCGCTACGCTTCTCACCAGCTTAACCTGTGGCCGCACCCTCAGCAGCCGCAGGTTTCGCCGACCCGTCTGTGGACTGGGTCTCTTGGTGACGCGTCTGCGTTCC